AGTTTTAATATTAAATACACATTTACATTAACATTTTCTTTAAACATTTGTCTATCCAATGGCCATACTGATTCATGTAGCCCAAATAAAATCCCAAAAGTTTCTTGAAGATTAAAAAAAAAACTGTTCAAAAAATATTTCATTTCTACATTCAATAAAGGTAAGTTTATCTATTATTTAACAAAAGTGCATGAACATAATAACTATAAAAAAGTGGAAGTTTACAAATATATCTTCTTTATAATTGTTTGCCAAATACTTAATAGCTGTATACCACTTCAATGATTTATACAATTACACCTTGAATCATATATATTATCATGGCATATTCAGTTTTTATTAACAGTCTTAAACACTTCTACAGCAATAAATACCATAAATTATTGCCAAATAAGTTTTATTTAAATGAAAAACAGTGTCAAATATAATTTTTTAGTTATCTAAACCTTCTTTGTAATTTTCATTATAAAATTCATTCCCAATTCTACCAAAACATTACAAAATGTAATTGAAATATTCAGATTTTAATAAAACAAAATTTGCAGTCCATGATAGCATTTTTGAATGAGTTATGACAAATTCTATTAGCTTTAAATGAACTGGAAAACAAGTTTTTGTACTTCAAATACAAATCTGGTGAAAGTCAATGGTTTTATTTGTGTGTTGTTAAGTGCAAAGCTACAAAATTAGCTATCTGTTCTCTGCCCATTTTTAGTATTATAAACCCTCACAACATTGAGCCATTAAGGATACAAATCAATGAAGTAAACAATTTTTTTTAGTATAAAAATAGGCATACTTAGGTCACATGATGAGCCTACACAGTCAAAATATTATTTAGTGAATATTTTGATTAATCCTAATTATCTGTTGCTTACTAATGATGCCTATCTTTGCACATGTTGTGAGCAGCTAAGTTAATATTATTTCTTCCTTCAGATGAAGGCATCTGTCAGCACATAACATTAAATATCTATTATCATATCACTACACACTTATTACATCACACATATAACTTCTATTAGTAATAACTTACTTTGTACAAGGTATTTATTGTTGCTTGGCTTGTGACAAAGAATTATGTTAATAATTGCAAAAATATGACATTGATGTATACTGAGCTTTGGTACATAAATACTTAGTTTGTAGTTCTACTTAAAAGAGAACTTGGGGCTTAGTAGTTTTTTGTTACTATTACTTCTGCAGGCATTACCATGTAAGTTTTTAATCTACTGGTGTTTATTTGGATGTCACTTGTCCTGTATTTATGAACTGTCTTGTGTAAGGGATTACTCAATGGGGTGTACAATTTACTTAATAGCCAGGAGAATGTCAAACTGATTTTCTTGAGTTTATAAAGATCCCGAATAAGAAATATAAATACTGCTATAAACTTTTGTTAAATTTAACACAACATAACTGAAATCATGGTTAAAATTAACTGAAATGAAATACTATGATAAATGGGAATTACTAAAACTTGGTTAGATTTGGGGAATATTGAAAATATGAACAATTTTGAAATTCCAGATTATAAGATATTTAATGCTGATAGCAGTTTTTAATTGAAAATTGTTATAGGCCACCTAATCAGACAGATGAAGTCAATGAGAAATTGTATAATGAGATCAAGGTTGTTATTTGGATATTTTTGCAATAATAATAGAAGACTTGTGTTTTTGGACACATTTATTAAGTTTTTATGGAGTTGTGAGAGAGATGGGTTTCTTGAAGAAATTCTATTCAAAGTAATCAAAGTCAACTGGCGAGTTGCAATTTTATATTTATGTTAAACATTAATGAAGATGTGATTGCAAGAGTTGAAGTGGGTAAACATTCAAGGAAAAGTGAACATTGCATAATTAAGTTTGATGTTTAGTAACATGTTGAGATAAAAAGAAATGAAATTTTGTTCCTAATTTTCAGAAAGCCAGTCTCAAGGCCCTGAGATAAGACTTATCATTACTGAATTAGGATAAAAAAGTTTAAAGATGATGTGAAACAGAGCTGGAAATGTTTTGAAAAATAAATCATCCTTACTTCAAGATAGACACATTCCTATTGAATGAAGAAAAAATAACAGGGAAGGTCTAATCTAATTGAGTTACTGAAGAGTAAATCAATGATGAGTACAACAATGTTAAGAGGCTTAAACTGGCAAAAAGGATTGAATATTGACAGAACTTTAGGAAAGCTGTGGATTTGGCTAAAAAACAGGTAACTCCAAAAGGGCTTATTAGAAGAAGCTGGCTCATAATGTTAAAACTAACAGCATGAATCTTTTAAGTATATAAAAGATAATCAAAATGTTAAAGTAATGGCTGAACCCCTAAAGAATGTTGATGGTGAAGTGTTTGTTGAAAGAAGATCAAAAATAATATATACCAGTTTCTCTCATGCTTGGTATGTCAGTAATATACACAGTGGACAGGTGCCTGTACATTGTAGAGTTGCTAATGTTAGTCCAATTTTTAAAAGGAGTGAAAAAGTTTTCCTGGAATTTATAGCCAGTTAGTCTTACTTTTGTGGTGGTAAAAATTCTAGAGTGTCTGATTAAAGAAGTTTTGTAAATCATCTATTGAGAAAAGACATTATACGAGAAAATAAACATGGATTCACCAATAGAAAATCTTCCGTTACTAATTTGTTAAGTTTTTTGAGAAGTCACATATTATCTGGATGATGGAAAAAGCATGAAATTGTTGTAATTTAGGTTTTCAAAAAGCTTTAGGTGTTCCACAAAAGGTAGCTATTTATATCACATTCTGTGGGATTTGGGAAAGACAAGTAATTTGGACTGTGGGGTGTTAGAAAACAGAAAACTATCATTAAAACTATCTAGTGGAAATAGATCCTTATAATCAGGAGTAAGTGTTTGGGTCTTATTTACATATGGACATAATAAGAAAATTAGAAAAATTTGTGAAAGACATTCAACTCTTGTGTATTTCTTACCATACTGAAGATGTTTAGGTATTACAGAATGAATGTCTTGGATCAGTTGGAGAAATATATGGTAAAAGACCTTTAACCAAAGTAAGTGCAAAATAATGTATATGGGTTATCACTGGATTTACATTTAATATGATTAGGAACCCACTCAAAAGAACCTTGTCAGAGAAGTAAATATGTAACTCAAGCCATTGAAGCAGTGCTATGTTATTCCCAGCAGCAAAGCTAAAATAATTTTGGAGTGTGTATATAGATTACAAGTCAAAGGAGATAATTATCACTTTATACAAATCACTATTTAGGTATCACTCGGAATGCTATGTACAGTTGTGGTTTTGTTATGGTTTATCTAAGAAAGAATATTGAATTGTTGGAAAGGATTCAGAGAAGAGAGACTAGTGAGTATTTGAACATACTATGGGTTTCTATCTTATCTTGGTATTATAAAATTTATTCTTAATATATTCTTTATTCTGAACATGTGCAAGTTTCATATAGAATGTGGTTAAGAAAACTGTTAATCTTACCTTGTTTCATGTTCCCTTTGTTTTTAAAATTAGATAACCCATACTACTGCCTGGGGAGAACATTGTGTAAGGATGTTTACAGCAGTGTCTTTCAACCACAGTTCAGATAATATTTAGAGGTTACAATTCCACTTTGTCGTAATGAAATGCCCAGTTACATGGATAATGTGTGTTGTGCTAGATAAATGTGAGGTTTCTTTGAAATTAAGAAATCTTTGATTTAATTGTCTGGTATGAGATCTCAACCGAGTAAGGAACAGGATAGGGAAGAGTAAGCAATTGAGAGAATCCAGCAAAAGTAATGGTTCAACATATTCAAAACATTCAAGCAGATACACACAGTGTGTTTGTATTTCATCACAATATAAAGATTATTCATTTTGTGTCTATTCGCTTTATGTTTTTTGACACCATGATATCTTAGTTGAATATCCAGTTAATAGCAGACCTATCTGGTGTTGCTCTAGAGCTAATTCACTTCTACCTGAATATACTACACTAAGATGATTCCACGGATGAAAGGACTTATTTATAAGGATTATTTAAGTTCTCTTATTTCATACTGAGAAATGAAGAGGTGTAAGAGGTGATTTTCTTGATGTTTACAAGATTATATAGAGGATTAATAGGATAAAGGCCTGTGACATGTTCTGCTATATTATGATGTCAAAGTATGACAGTACACAAGTAAAGGTTTGGAAATATTAGACTAAAATGTTTTATTTTTTGAACAGTTGACTTCTGTCAGTTATGGAATGGCTTTCCATGGCAGTAATAGTGGCTAGCATTTTACAAGTTTAAAATGGGAATCAATAATTCCCCAAAATAAAAAGTGAGTTTAATTTCTACTTTTTCTCATGGATGAGAGTAATGGAACAGTCTTGGTGAAGCAAATGGTCTCTAATTTTCCATATATCTTACATTACAATAAAGCATATTTTGAAAAAACAAACAAAAGAAGCTGTCCCTTCTGAACAATATTATGTGTACAACATTATTTCTATTAGTGTAAAACCATTTCTTTAGAGTATTAAACAAAAAGATTAACACTTACAAGGCTCTACTTCAAAGTGAAAATAATTTGGTTCTACTCTGTAACCCTTTATTCGGCCACTCTTAACAGCTTTCTCCATTAGGGTTCTCACTTGTTCTCTCTCATCTTTTTTGCCAAAAAAGTGAAACTCCACCAATCCTTCATGTCTGAAATATGCAAGCATGGCTGTATAAAACAATTCTCCCAAAGACTTTATATCATTTTAAATTAAATTCACTGATGTAGCAATTAGTTTACAAAATTTTAACAAATATCTATGCTAAAAGGACAAATGTGACGTTTATTGGACACTGTACCAGTTCTTAACTTTATTAAATCAATACATATTATTAGTTTAAAAAAGATGAAGAAAAGGTGTATTACTTTTCAAGCAATCTTTCAAAATATATTCATGTTACCTTAGAAGAAATGAGCCTTCTGGTTTGTTTGTGGAAAAGTTACTGAGGACGTATGCATCCGTCCCAAAGTTTACCTTACCCATCATAGGGAAGGCAATCAACCTGTATCACCCATCGCCAATTCTTCGACTACTTTTTACCAACCAATAATGGAACTGACTGATACAACAACTGTTACGGTGTGTACGCTTTTTAGTTTTATAAGCCTGCGAAAAATAGTAATAGGCGTAAAACTAATGTCTTATGACAAGTATATTTGTAATTATTCTTCGCCGGCTTGTACACCAAAACAACTGTGGTAGAATTATATATGGAGTGTTCTCTACGTTAAAATATTTTTCATTTAATTGTGAGTTTTTTACCCTCCTACCGTATTCTCCTTCGCGCAACAATGTACTGAGCGATATAAATTTGTTTGTCTGTGGAACACAGGTCTCTGTGCAACAATCGTAACAGTAGCTGACATCTGGTTTTAACCATATAGAAATTATAACGAATATAGAATTAGCAATAAAAGATTTAAGATTTTACATAAATTGAAAAATCATCATTGCTAAACAACATATAATTGATTTATTTTAAATATTGTTCAGCAATAGTGTGTATACATTTTTCTATACTGTTTCAAAGACCAGGTGTTTCATTATTCAACTTATGTTTGTTTGTTTTGAATTCCACGCAAAGCTACACGAGGGCTATCTGCGTTAGCGGTCCCTAATTTAGCAGTGTAAGACAAGAAGGAAGAGAGCTAGTCATCACCACCCACCGCCAACTCTTGGGCTACTCTTTTACCAACGAATAGTGGAATTGACCGTCACATTATAATGCCCCCACGGCTGAAAAGGCAAGCATATTTAGTGTGATGGTGATTCGAACCCGCGACCCCCAGAGCACCCTAACCGCCTGGCCATTCCCATTCAACTTATGTACAAGCTTAAATATTTAACTGTTAATTCTCTATTCATCATAATATCTATACAATTAATAACTTCAATAAATATGGAAAAAAATTAACGGATAGTAAGACCCTTGATTATCATAGAATTGCTATAAGAAGTATCCAAAACAATATAAATGCTACAATAAAAAATACACAATCAAGTAGTTTGATAGGTTTTAAAACAATTTTCAATCATTTTAAAATCTATACAACTAATATCACTTTACTTGTTTGTGTACTTTTATTGCAGCATTTGTTTTGTTTTGGATAATTCTTATAGAATTTCTGCGATTAACCAACGATCCCTAGTTTCCTTTAAAATGTTAATTTTTTCCTATTTATTTGTTTAGTTTTGATATGTCCATGGAATGGACACATCTATAAACTTTCAGTACAGCCATATCCCTGACAGCTACAACTTTTATAAGAATTAAAACCACAATCAGAAATTTATAAACAGTATTCCTCACTTTGACTTCCAGATAAGTGTATAGAGCTGCCAAAATAGGGATTAAATTTTATAAATTTGTGATTGTGGTTTTAAATTTTGCTTCATTACTTTTTGTTGCAGGATCCTTAGATCATTTTAATATTCATAATTTTTTAATACTCTTGTTTGTTTACTTTTTTACGTCATACCTGTATAAAGTATTGTTACGTCTCTGAT